TCACAGCTCATCTGATGATGATAGATTGTGTTTCCTTCCCCAGCATATATATTTCTTTTATTTTAAAGATAGAAGAATGAAAACATATTACCAAACACACAGACATAAACAAAACAACATAAAAACAATACAAGAAATACAGAATTTCAGACAAGGTGATAGGAAGTTAACAATGGTTGTATTACAGATTGTTATCTTCAAATTGGTTACTCAGATAAACAAATACAGGTATGTAAAATTGATCAAACACTTAAATGTGAACTGTTCCTTTCAATAAAGCAATAAAAATTAATAGTAAAATAACCTTGCCAACAAGGGGAAGCAAAAAAAAATTTTTTCCCTTCTTTCTTTCTTTTCTCTTTTCCCTCATCCCAATTGTTCTATCTTTTTGAGCAATTTCTTTTCCTTTCACAATATCTATCATACCTTTTAAATTTTATGCACTCTTTCAGGTTCTTACGCTAGGGAGACAATATGATGTTTACACATATGAGTCTGATTTATTTCGCTTGTGAGTATGGTCTCTAGTTGCATCCATTTACCGATAAAAACCTCTAGTTTTTTAATAGCTGAGTAATATTCAATTATATAAAAATATCACATCTTTTTTACCCATTCCTCAGTTAGTGGGCATTTGGGTTGTTTCCAAGATTTAGCTATGACAAATTGAACTGCTGTGAACATTGGTGCACATATGGCTGTGGTATGATGTTTTCAGTTCTTCTGGAAAAACACCCAAAAGGGAAATAGCTGGGTTGAATGAGACGTCTAATCCTAGTTTACTGAGGAATCTCCAGACTGATCTCCATAATGGCTGCACCAGTCTACACTCCCACCAACAGTGGAGAAGAGTTCCTTTTTCCCCTGCAGCCCCTCCAGCATTTATTTGTTGATTTCTTGATGATAGCCATTCTTTCTGGGGTGAGATAGAATCTCCGTGTTGTTTTAATTCTCATTCATATGCATAAACTTTAGAGACCCACCAAGCTACGAATCCTTGTGGGAAATCCCCAGGTGTTGGTTTTTTTGCAGGGCAAAAATCAGGTCACTGCTTCATTCAATAGTCTAAGAAAAGTTCCTTTACCAAAAGTGAGATAATCACTCCTTCATCTTTACTCTGCTCTTAGTGGCAGTACAGAACACACTTGTTACTTTTGGATCGAAGGAACCCAAATGCCATAATAGTTCCTTGACCCCAAGAGAAATTAGTGAGAAGACTCCACTGACATTGGCAGTTTTATGCTACTGGCAACTTTAGGGAGCTGTCCCATTTCATTTCCTGAGAGTTCACCTAACCCACTTAGTGAGGACTCAGCTAGCTCGAAAGAGAGTCCTTGATACAGGAAGGAGTGAAACTGTGTTGCCTCAGCCTGGATTACTGATTGAAAAAGCCAATATATCTTTCAATTTGAGATTTTCAAATGAAATTTCCTCTTTTTTAGAGCTGCATATATAGTTCAATGGACTTAGAGATTTCAAAATCATGAGAAATAACTGTATTATAGCTGGTATGCATTAAATTGTAAGACTATGTTATATTGCTATTTTTTGCATAAATTTCTCAGCAATTCATAAAACTCTATAAAGCTATGCTATCAAACTGAGGGCTGAAGGGATACAAAAATAATAAAGAGAATATGGTCAGCATGTAACTGCATACAGCCATACTTTGACCCCTGGAAGTCTAAATTTAGGTCCTGATATCTTATTTTTCAGATGGGACTTCAGAAGGAGAGCTTCATAAGGCTAACAATACTGGGGGTAAATATCTACATGAGATGTTTGAAACAATTGACCCAGATTTGGAGTCTAAATTTCATTTCTCCCAGGAAGCTTTCTCTGAGTAGAAACTGACCCATGTAAGTCTTCTTGATCACATAATCAGTAGTGTTTAATGCATACAATAGAGATTACTTGATTAATTATGTATTCTTATTAAATGGTATGCTTAACATATCATCGAGCATGTGTGTTCTTACTCATCAATGTATGTGAAGCAACTAGAATAATTCGTACCTAAGAGACTGACAGTAAAATTTTTTTGACAAAGAAATGAAATGAAGCAGCCCAAGAAATAATATTATATATTTATAAGTTTGGAAGCCTAAGAAATTGAAGAAAATAACATTTATCGTGGGTTGTGATTAGAGACTTTGGCTCAATGGAAAGAAACACTCTCTGACTCAGGGCCTGAAGTTGAGAATGGCTGCAGAGAGAAACATAAGTGTCCCAGCAGCAGAGATACACAAGCAATTGCCAGGTGATCTGGTTTTTCAGGATATCTTTATCTGGGAGTCAAACAACATAATCTTTTTGAGACAGGGTCTCACTACGCAGTTCAGGCTGGCCTTGAGCTCACTTTGTAGCCCAAGCTGGTCTCGAACTTGCAAGGATCCTCCTGCCTCAGCCTCCCAAGTGCTGGGATTACAGGAATGCACCACCATGCCCAGCTTAACATAAAATTACTGAATCACAAATACTTAGTAACTTATTTCTCAATTACATAACAAAATTATATATTGATCTATCTGTTGCTTTAGAAGAGGAGTCCTTATCAGGATAGAAGCCAAAACATTTATACTTTTCCAAGATAGGCTCTGAAATGTTTATAATCACTTTCTTTTTGGAGGTTGTAATTGAATTCTTGAATTTTAAAGAGTACACACAACACAGAAAATTTGCAGTAATTTTTTTCAATAGTAAACTTTCTTGTTGTGGATTTAAAATATAAACAATACTGATTTCATTAGTAATTAAAATTTGTAATAAACTGCTATTATCTATATACTTTACAGTAACAGTACAATTATAGTAGTAAATGAGAAATGTACATTGAAATTAATAACAAACAAAATTCATAATACAGTATTAGTTACTCTTTTAATGATACAGTTTCAGGTGAGCAGAGATTTAAAGGGTTGTTATTCTTTGTAGAATGCTTTGATCCTATCTTTGTTTCCTCCACATTCTAAAATTCTTTCTAGGGAAGAAGGACTGGATGATCTAAATGTTGATGTCTCTTCTAAAAGACAAGACTCTTTGATGCCCAAAGACCTGACTTCCATGAGATAAAAATGTTAAGTCTAACTCTGCTTACGGGGATCTCCCAAGGCAAGATGGCTCCAGAATTCTTTTCTCCTTTCCCACTGGCATAATCTCAAACCCAGGAAGGCACTCCAGAAACCCCTAATTTGGCTTACCTGTAAGCCCAATCTTTGTGATTCTTCTTCCCAGCACATACTTCATCTCCTTGGAGACTTTAGGAAGTACACACCTTGTGGTTTCTGGACTGACTGGCTGTAAAGTATGAGTCTGAAGTATCTGTCATTTTATTTTTCTTTATTTGTTTAATAATAACGGATTTATTTATTACTATTATTTTTTGGTACCAGAAATCAAACTCAAGACCTTGTGCTAGCCAGGCAGGTACTGTGCTGCTGAGCTATATCCCCAGCCTATGTCCATCCTTTTATAAAGCTGTAAAGCAAAATAAGACAGGGCTGGGGATATAGCTCAGTGGTATAAGTGCTTGCCTGGCAAACCTGAGGTCATGAGTTTGAGTGCCATACCAAAAAGAAAAAGCAAAATAAGGCACAGATGTCTTATAATCAAGCTAATGGCTGTGTTTAATCAAGAAAACAGGCAGATATGTATTATATACATTATACGAAGCATTATATTATTGTATCTATTAATACTATACATGTTATATTGTATTAAACAAGAGGATTATGTATACTGAAAAAACATGGTAGAAATCATAGCTCTAGCAAGGAAAGAACTTGTAGGTTTAATACGAACAGTTACTAATATCCATCTATACAAAATATCCACTTTCCTCACTATAGTCATTCACCTAAATCTTAAAACTTCAGTTATTGAGTTCAATCATCCATTAGTAATTTATTAAACATTATTTGTCAGCCTAGTGTATATAAGGCATAAAGAGTGGGCAGAGAGAAAAATAAGACTCAGAAATTTCACAGCATGGTAAAGAGAGATATATGCACATAATTATTAAACAGTTGTACATTTCCAAAGGGAGGCGTGTTAAAGATGTATGGTTCTCTTTCCCTAGGAAAAGTTATTATAGTAATACCTTATAGCTGAGTATGTGTTCACCTGACTTTTTTTTTTAACCTGACTTTTGATGACTATTGGCAGGTGGCCAGGTAACTAAATGGAAACAATCATTCTGTGCAAAAAAACCTTCCTGTGCAAAAAGCATACTGGTGCAAGAAAGTGTGTTCCAGGGATTTCAAAACAATAGGAATGGTTGAAGCCAGAAGTATATGGTGCAAGTGATGATAAGCAACGCTAGATAAATAGGAAAAAGCTCACTGAAGAGCATTGCATCCTGACCTTTGTTCTAGATCTCCCTGGGAAACAGAGTACATATCCAATTTAGGTAATTTGAAGAGAAACCAAGAGATATCATTGGTAGGGCAATCACAGCTGTTTGTGAAGTTCCCTAGGTAACTGATTGGACCAAAAGAAGATACAGTTACCATACGAAATCACAACCAGAAAGACTGTTCAGGCAGGAGAAAGGGAGCTTGCAAAACCCTGCTCAAAAGCTGTTGCAGAAACAATCTCCTTATCTAACTTTTCTTCTCTCCAGCCTTGTGTCGGTTGTTTCCTACTGCTAAGTCTGACTGACAGTGAGAAGGTGAAGATTCCAGAACATAATAGCAAGGAGTGGAGGGTGGATCACAGCTGGCAAATGCAGGACAGGCTGTAGAGCATATACTGGGAAGAGTTAATATTTGCGTTGCAGTTGATTGGGGATATTCATGTTAAAATATTTGGGCAGTGATGCGGAGGCTTCCCTGGCAGATGGAAACATGGAAGTGAAATAAACACCACTGGTTACAAAATCACTTCATAATCTAAGCCAAAAAGGCAGAAGGGAGGAATTTGAGTAGAAATGCTGGGACTAAAAGAGACAAGACGTCAAATGGATGTTTAGGAGAAATCAATGGCATTTAGGATGACATCGTTTCATTTTCTAATCACTTGTAGGAAGATAAAGGCAGTTTTCTGCTTCGCTATGCTCTCTGCGTCTGTCTCCAATGACACCACATTCCACCCTTCCACGTTTATTTTACTTGGAATTCCTGGGATGCAAGAGCAGCACATTTGGATCGCCATTCCCTTCTGCTCCATGTACATCCTTGCTCTGGTTGGCAATGGGACCATCCTTTACATCATCGTGACTGACAGAGCTCTGCACAAGCCGATGTACCTTTTCCTGTGCCTGCTTTCCTTTACTGACCTGGTGCTCTGTTCAACAACGCTGCCCAAAATGCTAGCAATCTTCTGGCTCAGGTCCCACGTAATATCCTACCATGGCTGCCTCACCCAGATGTTCTTCGTTCATGCAGTTTTTGCCACAGAGTCAGCTGTTCTGCTGGCCATGGCTTTTGACCGCTATGTGGCTATCTGCCGCCCGCTTCATTATACCTCTATCCTCAATGCCACCGTGATCGGGAAAATTGGTCTGGCATGTGTGATTCGTGGGCTTCTCTTTGTTTTTCCCTTTGTTATCCTCATTGAGCGCTTACCTTTCTGCGGACACCGTGTAATCCCCCACACTTACTGTGAGCACATGGGCATAGCCAAGCTGGCCTGCGCCAGCATCAACCCCAACACCGTTTATGGCCTTACAGTAGCACTTTCAGTCACTGGCATGGACGTGGTCCTCATTGCCACTTCTTACATTATGATTCTCCAAGCCGTGCTGCGATTGCCCTCCAAAGATGCCCAGTTCAAAGCATTTAGCACCTGTGGAGCCCACATTTGTGTGATTCTTGTCTTCTATATTCCTGCCTTCTTTTCATTTTTCACCCACCGCTTTGGCCACCGAGTATCCCCTCGGGTGCACATTGTACTTGCAAATCTCTATCTACTTGTGCCCCCTGTCCTCAACCCTCTGGTCTATGGCATTAATACTAAACGGATCCGCCAGAGAATATGTGAGTTTTCTATGGGGAGGAGGTAACCATACTCTCTACTTGCCCAAAGAGCTAACAGGAAAAGCTATCATCAATCTTTTCTCTTCTTCAGCACCTGTTATCTCCAGACTAGTGGTTGCTGCCTCTACTAATCCCAGCAAACAAGTATCACGTATTATCTGATATTTTGGAGTGTTTAATGCAGTTCAGCCATCTCTATTTGCTAAACGACAGCTTATTTCCCATAAAGTTATGATGGGACCTGTTATCGGACCTGTGCATCTTGAATCTTCCTAGGGAAAGATTAGAAGGCAATATTAAAAGAGCAAGCCAGAGAGGATGAACTCCATGTACAGAATTTGCATATGTTAGAGTTAGGAAAGAAATTTTTATAAAAGAGCTATTTACTTACCATTTCAAGGAACTGAGGGTACCTGTACTCGTTAGTTAATTAATTAATAATTGTCAGCACTTTCCGAGACCAATAGTACCTTCAGTGAGCATGTCAGCCGTAGGCTAGATATAGCTGTGAGAACTCAGGTCCTTTGGCCCTGGCATTAGGTTTGAAATGGATGTGAATGATTGCTTGGTGGTTCATGGTGAGAAGTCTGGAGCACATTATCACATGGAGAAGCCACAGTACAGGTTTCTGAAAGAACTGCTTCAAAAGATGTCCTGTACAGCTAGCATACTCACCTCGTGATTGATGACCATAGCATTCTTACTCACTTTCTCAGCGTGAAGAGTATAACATACCAATTATGCTGAGGACCACTGTGGAGTTATTCTAACAGTTTGCTCACCTCAGTTAGTTAGGAGGCCTTTGAGTATCTGAGAATTTCCAGGACACATTTTCCTGAAAATTCCAAGCAGGCTTATAAGGTGATAAGAATCCTCTAAATTTTGTACAAGAATAAAAGAAATTTATTACAGAAGCATTAAAGTGTATGAAATGAAAAAGAAAATAAATAAAAAATTATATGACAATGGCTATGCAGTGGTAATTAAAACTCCAGACTTGGTGCATTGAACAAATGCAATACAGATATCTCAGAGATGTAATGCTGAACCAAAATCAAAATGCAAAAGATGATATAATACAACTTATACAAGCTTAAATTATACTCTCTCTTAGAACATATCATTTAGAATCCATGTATGTAATAATAGTATAAAAACATACATTGCTTTGGGAAAGATGGAAGTGATTTCTGAAAGAGTGCAAATACCACATGCGAAGGGAACAAAGAAGGCTTTCTGTCTTTGTTAAGAAAGACAGAAAGATTTGTTAAGAAATATTTTATTTCTTAATGTTAACTCTATATTCCTGGATTGTGCTCTACTTTCTTTATAAATTTTGTTTCAACAAAATAGATTAAATAAAAGTTAGCTAGACTTGGTATGAAAATATGATAAATGATATGAGAAATATATAAATGTATTTATTGTTCATATTATCTATACAATTTTTCCATTTTACAATATTATCTTTTTAATATACCATATGCATATATAAATGGGCATTTGTGTCGATGCAATTCCTTTCAAATAATCTGCCTACTCATGCACCACAACCTCACTGTTTAATGTGTAATAGTTTTATAACCTATCGTTTTTAGCAGGTCAATCACTCCTTTGTCATAGGTTTATCCTTAGGTACTTGTTCTTTCTATTGCATTTAATTATAATTTTTTTGCATTTAATTATAATTTTGTCAAGAATCTATCCACATGAATCATTCATATGTGTTTGAATTTCCACTGAATTTTATAAATTCATTTAAATAGGAATAACTGCACATGGTTGGGTTTTGAACTTCTACATATACAGGAAAAAAACTGAGTAAAAGCTAATGAGGTATGAGATATTTTTAGTTTATTTTTAAATGAATTTAATTATTTGCTAACTTATCCCTTCATTTGTATTGCAAGTATTGTATTTATTCATTACTTACTATATGCCTACTCCATTCTAAACATGACAGAAGTGATTGTAACACAAGATTTGGGGAAATAGCAGGCTCTGTGAAAGAGGAGGACCAAAGGAAAGTTTATTGTTATTATCACCTGTCAGGACCACCGTGGAACCAAGAGGAAAGATGGGGCAGAATTCAGGATTTCTTTTTTTTTTTCAGGTACCAGGAATCGAACTCATGACCTTGCGCTTGCCAGGCAGGCACTCTGCCCTTGAGCTAAATCCCCAGCCCCTCAGAATTCAGGATTTCTGAACATTGTTAGAGGCATGAATTTTTTTTTTTTGTTTGTTTGTTTTCTGGTACCAGGAATCAAACTCACGACTTTGCGCTTGCCAGGCAGGCGCTGTGCCACTGAGCTAAATCCCCAGCCCCAAGGCATGAATTTCTGCAGCAGAAAGCTGTGTATGTGTTGTGAGTTTGTGTCTATATTTAATGGTATCCGCACTTGTCTACTTATGGACATTTCCACTGGTGTATTATTTTCCTGAGCCATTTAATTTGCTGTTCATTTTTCTCTGCTCTTGCTTCCCTCTTACCAAACTCTCACTAAAGTCTTTCTATAGGGCCTGGCTATAGGCAGAATTTATACCACATCAGGAATTAGAATCTGGCTCTCAGAGTCGTATTTCTGTTGAGCTTTTCACTGTTTGTGATTTCGGTTGGTCCTCTGCATTTTGCAGTGGTCTTGGTAAAGTGCTTCAAAGTTTTTGAATACATTTGCTTCCTCCGAACTTACATAAAAAACTATCTGCCCAAAACTGGACCTAGAAAGGGGGTGGGAGACCTGGAACAAAAGAGCTATGAGAATAGAGAGTGAGGGATGAGACTCCAGAGAGCATGAAAGGCAAAGCCACCAACTGGGGCAAAGGTTGTGGAGGGAAAGACAGAAAGAGGCTAGGGGCTGCTATTATTATCATTGTCACCACTATTATTTTGTTAGGATGCTCATGGGCAAGGGTAGTAACTCTGATTCTGTCTTGGGCATGATTATTCCAGAAGTAAGCGTGTGATAAGAGGCATACATATTCATATGGTGACAACTGTGAAACAAGCCCGTGTCCATCATCTTACAGAATTTAACCCATTGTTCCACCTCTGGGTCAAGAGAAGCTACAATTTACCCATTCAAAAAAAATGTTGGATGCTACACACTATTATTAACTTTTTGTTTGCACTTTGGCATTTTTATTTTAGATTCCACTTATAGGGTCATACCACATAATACTTTTCTTTCTGTTCTTGGCTTATTTCACTTAGCAGAGTGTCCCCCAAGTCCAAATGCAATGATCACCTCCTATTTTAAGGCTGACATATTCCTGTCTCTCTCTGGCTTTCTCTGTCGCTGTCTCTCTCTGCCTCTCCCTTCCCCTCTTTCTCGGTGTTTCTTTATTTGTCTGTCGAATCGGCTTTAAATTTACCCTCTCTTTTCCAAGCTCCTCCAAAACTAGCAAAGACTGAACACTCCCAGATTCTCTAAGATCACTTAGCCTCATCTCCTGGGAGTCCAGGCGCCCTCCAGGGTCAATTGTACACATAATGGTAGCAGTAACTTGTGTATGTGGTGCACAGTAGCAAAGAGCTAATCTCAAAACCCTGGGGGACATTCCCTTGGTTACTTAAAGAGCTAGGTGATGGATCCTGAGTGCCACAAAGCAAGGAATGAAGAGATGCTGGGCCATGAGTGCAGTCATCCATGGGGATGCCTCCTGAAATATACACACACACATATGTACCCCCCCACCGAGCACGTCCGAAGCAGGTGTCTGGGACCAGCCGCCCTCTCTCTCACTGCCTCACATTCAGGTGAGTGGTTCTCCATGAGGGTGGGCTTCAGATTCACATTCCAGCAGGCTGTTCTCCGAGCTACAGCTTTGCAGGGCCCCACTGCCCACTTCGCTCTTCATCACCGTGGCAAAGCTCTCGTCAAAAAGGGTTCACTCTGTCCTATCCCATATCTGCTAAAAATGTGTATTCCGCACCTTTTGGATGTAAGACTTTATTATAAACTTTGACGTTACCTTACTTTCTTTTTGTATTTCTGACCATTTTTGTTTTGCATACTTCAAGTTATATTTTTTTAGTGGAAACACATCTATTTTAAATATATAAATGTGTTAAGATCTCATTTTATTAAAGAAACAATTAGTCTTTATTTGTTTTGTTTTGTTTTTTGTCTTTTTGAGACAGGGTCTCACTCTGCAGTTCAGGCTGGCCTTGAGTTCACTTTGTAGCCCAGGCTGTTCTCAAACTCACAATGATCCTCCTGTCTCAGCCTCCCAAGTGCTGGGATTACAGGTGTGTGCCACTATGCCCGGCCAATAATTAGTCTTTAATAAAAACATTGTAAAATATATTCTCATAGATATTGGTGGTGTTATATTACATTATTACTACTGTCATATTACAATATACTGCTGTACCATATATATAATTACGACTTCAGAATCATTTTTGTGTATCTTAATATTCCAATCTTTGTCTTCCAGGTTGAAACTGTTGAAAATTTCAAATGAAGCTCAGGCAGTTTCTTCTTCTCCCCTAGGGTGCCACCATGACCACTTGCAATGCCACCGGCCGCCCATCTTTCTTCATTCTGCAAGGCATCCCCGGGATGGAAGACAAACACAGATGGATCTCGATCCCCTTCTCCTCCCTTTACTTCATCACCGTGCTGGGGAACTGCACCATCCTCTTCACCATCTCCGCAGAGCGCTCCCTGCACAAGCCCATGTTCCTCCTCCTCTGCATGCTGGCCCTCACGGACCTGGGCATGTCCACGACCACCATTCCCAAGGCGCTGTGCATCTTCTGGTTTGGCCAGAGCAAGATCAGCTATGAAGGCTGTCTGGTCCAGTTGTTCTTCATTCATTCCATTTCTGCCATGCAGTCAGCTGTCCTGACCACCATGGCCTTTGACCGCTACGTGGCCATCTGCAAGCCCTTGCGCTACGCCACCATCCTTTCCAATAGCCGCATTGGGCTCATTGGCCTCGTGAGTTTGGTGAGAGCCATCCTCTTTATTCTCCCCATGCCCATCCTCCTCCAGCATAAGCCCTTTCATGCCAGTCGTGCCATCCAAACCACCTATTGCGAGCACATGGCTGTAGTGAAGATGGTATGCGTGGACACCACAATCAACCGCACGTACGGGCTGGTGGTGGCTTTTCTGGTTGTTGCGATGGACATCTCAGCTATTGCTTCATCTTATGTGCTAATCCTCCAGGCTATAACACGCCTCTCTTCGAAGGAAGCCCACCACAAAGCCGTCAGCACCTGCACCACACACATCTGTGTCATGCTGATCTCTTACACTCCCTCCCTTTTCTCTTTTCTTACTCACCGCTTTGGCCGAGCCATTCCACCCCACGTCCACACGATTCTTGGCAACCTCTACTTTCTTGTACCTCCCATGCTCAATCCCATTATTTATGGAGTGAAGACAAAAGAATTTCGGAACAAAGTGATCAAATATGTTTCCTGGATGAAGGCGCTGGTAACCATTTCCCACGGTCAGAAACTTGCTTGATGATCCAGCAACTGTGACGAGGAAGAAGATAAGTGTATGCGGTTTGGGGGAAATTTGTCTTGTGGTAGAAATACATCATGCTGATGGGTTAGGTACCAAATATTTTTTTGGACAGAGAAGCTAACACATGAGAACTTCTTGGTCTCAGTAATTCCGAGGCAAGGCAGTTATCTTCCATGAAATAAAATAAAGGCACTTGTTCTCTATATCTTCTTAAGCAAATTATTCATGATAATGTACCTAAATGTACTTTGAACAGCACACACTGACCTCACCTAAGATGGGGCGGAATGGTCCCATACAGAAAGAGGAAGAAAGAACGTAAGGGCAAACAATAACTTGACCATCACCAGGATGTAGGAGAACACCACTGACTTTGCCAAGGCAAGGCCAAGGTGCATGTAGCTATGGGTGTGTATCTGTATTTGTGTGTTCAAAGGCAGAGTGAAAGGTGGAAAAGATTGTTTCTAGGCACTGAGATGGGACAGGGAAATTTCAAAATTTAATTTAGAGTCATGTATTATTACTCCCACAGCCGAAGCCTTATAAATGAACAGCAGGATTTGCTGCTTCCTTATGAACCCAAAGACTATGGGAAACCATGTCCAATTTCCAAAGACACTTCAGAGGAAAAAGGAAGAACGGTAAGCTCTTAGGTGTAGAAATTTGACACACAAAATTCACACTTGTGAAAATTGGAGTCAACTCTTCTGCTGGTCTGAATCCTAGCGTCTGAGAAGACTCTCCTGTTTGAGTTTCTTTTGAACATTTTTTGGTTTATTTGTGCATGTTTGCAGTTCATGTGGTTCACAGTCACCTTGCGGAATGCTTAAACGTACATACTACAGCATGTTTCTTTTCTGTATGTGTTCTGCACCCCCCAGTCCCCAGCCCACTTTTCATTCCTGTTGATATTATTTGTCTTAGCTCATGTTACGGCGCATAATGCTTACATTAACTGGGGTTACTAGGTTTCTGTATATGGCATATCTTTATTTTCCTTATTGCCCCTTCCCCTCCTCCTCACACCTCATTCTTGTTCCTTGGCTCACCTAACACCCTCCTGTTAAGAGGCGACTATGAGAATGTTTTGCTTAGGGTCATAGCTGTAAAAATCAGTTTTGTACTGGAAATTTTTTTTTTTTTGGTTTTTCTCCGGTACCGGGAACCGAACTCACGACCTTGCGCTTGCCAGGCAGGTGCTTTTGCCGCTGAGCTAAATCCCCAGCCCCTTGTACTGGAAATTATTGTGAAATAATTTGTGTAAAGATTGTTAACATATGCAGCACTAGAGAGGCTGAGGCAGGAAAATTGTTGTGAATTTGAGGCCGGCTTGGGTTACATAGTGATTTCAAAGCCAGCCTGGCCAGGTGTGGTGGGTGTGGTGG